CTATTCAAATCCATCACAAATCTCAGGAGTAAGGTTTTTATATAAATATGGATTCATTTAAGGGAAGGAGGGTAGTCTGCAATTTTCAATGTTGCTGTCAAAAAATAGCTTTGTTTTACACATGTAGTAATAGAAAAACTTTATTTTGCAGAATAAAATAGTTGAAGTTTTGTTCTTCTAGTCAATATACACTGAAAAATAATATTACTTCTATTTCAGAAATAAAATACCTTAATATTTCAGGCTATTTAATAACGTTACAATTAGTAGATTTACTAGATCAATAATTTAACTTTTCATGCTTTTTATACCAAAACCAAATTCAAACTTCTGCCACCATATTTCATTTCAAAATATCATCAAAATTAAATCATTAAAAAGTTCATAAACATATTTATTACTAAGTATAATCAACAAAACAATTCATATTTTTAAAAGACAATAGCTTCATAGTTACTTGCAAGATATTGAAATAGTACACAAAATCATTGTTTTGCTGCCAGTCTAGATGCATATTCCTCCAATATGCAGAAAGAAAAGCTTTCTTATGGTTTCATTAGATACTAATGCATCCAGTTACACCGCCTATTTATTAGTGGTTAGCATTTGTCATCTGTTCTCCCACCGCAGCAAATGAGATATTAGCATTTTTCAGTGTGCTCAGAATAGAGGGCACGTGTTGTACATGACATGTGTGCTTTAAGTGTTGGCAGGAATGGCTTTCTAAAGGCAATATTTAGTAAATGTATATGCAAAGAAGCTCTTGCTTGGTCATTTGGTAAGAAAAAATGTACTTCTGTCTCATGGGTGTGTTGCCACTTTTGACAGGGTTGAATACTTGTGGATAAACGGGGCATGTTAATACAGGAATAATGTATAAGGTTTTGTATGATCATTTTGTTACTTTAAATGTTTTAGTTTTGTGCAATCATTTGTTATCTTAAATAAGGTGAAAATTAGCGTATATGCCCTGTGAACACACACGCATATCTGCAGACACATATGTGTGTGAGACTGTATATACATACACAAACATATGCATGTAGATATATATAGATCTGTATCAGGTTTGTTTCCCCTCCTCTTAGCTCTGAAGGCCGTGCTGAAGGGTCAGACTGATAGAGATCTGAATCGGCCGCGTTCAGCCGTGCAGAGCGCGCCAGCGCAGATTCCAGCCCCGTGCAGCCGCCGCGTTCCTGGCGTGCTTTATTTCTTGGGAGTGTGCTGCTGGTCTTTTGACCTATATGCAGGAGAACTGAAAATAATTATAATCCTGAGGTTTACACAACCTCTTTGTTTTCATGAGGCTGTCCAGAATCCTTCCACACCTCACTTCTGTAACTACATGGAGTAAATGGAGGTATGCTCCTTTTCACAGACAGACATAAATAAAGCAGAGGACACTTAATTGAATTTGAAATAGAAAGATATAGCCAAAATAATGACCACTTAAAAGTTTTGGTTTAAAATCTGACCATAAACAGCTGAGGGTAATCCAAAACTCGATATTGTGTATGGGCATCTAGCAAGAATCGCTGTGATTTGATTTAGCAGAAGCTAAACCTTCTGTTAAATCAATCAGGGTCTTTAACTGCCCTAGCTGCCTGGTGTGTGTATGCTCTGTGTTGCTGAGGTTGTTACTAGGGAAGCAGTATAATGCTGGCGCTGCACGAGGTGGGAGCTGGAAGCCAAGAATTTATTACTACAATTCTCCCTATTCATTATTTTGCTGTATGACCTTGGAGGGCGTCCATGTCATTGACTCTTGGCTTCTGCAGAGACACTATGCAAAGGCAGGTGTCCACCAGACTCTTGGCCACGCCACATCTTAGGTATGCTATTTACAATTCCCTGACCCAGTGGTTGAGGAAGAGCTGGTGCCAAGCTGACTAAGAGAAGCAGGGAGCTATGGCTGGCTGGCAAGGGAGAGCAGGTAAGGTCCTACCTGGCAGGGGACTTGTGAGAGAAGAGGGAAACAGCAGCCGTGCGAGAAAGGGAGGCAGCGCTGCTGAGCACCACTGGCCAAGTGCAATCAGCAGGCAAACACCGCGCGGACCTGCCGCAAGCACAAACCTGTGCCCACTTGTCCTTGATATAATACCCCTGTCAGATGTTATAAATTCTGCCAGGAAGATCTCGCAGCCTAAATAAGAGATAGGTGTGCAGAAGCTTTTGGTGAATCCGGAGAACAGCATGATTAGGAATTGTTATTTTGTTTTGCTCTTGCTGGTTCATTTTCTGAACATGGTGCAAGAAATGAATCTTTAGGAAAGACCTGAGTTGGAAAGCAGCTGTGTCTGACCTGACAGAGTGCAGAGGATAGACTGTCTTTATAATGTAACATGTAAAGGGAAGGCCCTGGGACGTGGAGTTGTAGCTGAGTGAGCTAATTGCGTCTCGTTTCTGTTGCTGGTGGAGTGTAGAGACAGTCCAATGGAAGTCTAGGTTGAAGATGTAGAAATAGTAGGTGTAATTGTGTTTAACACTTCCTTTGCAAGGAAAGGATTAATCTGTAAAAGAATTTTGGAAATATCGTAAGCATTTTTTCCAACAACATCTCAATTGTCTCTGAATTATTTTGTTTGACCAGTTTCATTGGTCCTCTCCAAGCTATTGCTCATGCATTTATCTTCAAGCTGAGATTTAGTCAGCTCTTTTCTCAAGGCTTTGTAACAATCTAGGGTAAAGCAAAGCAGAACAGAAACTATTCCAATGGTGCGTCCTTGTGGGTCATTTTATTTTCTTGCTGAAGAAATTTCTTTGCTCTAAAATTAATTTCTTTGCTCTTTGCATACTCTGAATGTGGGCATCTGTCGATACATCCATATTATATTTGAATTCAGATCAGGAGCGTGATATCAAAGCAGACCTTCCAGTAGTTCCCCCTCACTATGATTTGATTAACATCCTTGGACTGGTTTTAGGGGAGAAAAAAAACCCCAAATAACAGCTTTCTTTTGGATAGAACTAAAGAACAATATATTGTGCAGGTGCTCGCCCAATGCTCTCCAATTGCTAAGGGGCACTTTTTCCACAATGGCAGACTAGAGCTATTCTGAAGGGAAAACCGTGAAACGTGGGCGCTGCATGCTCAGTGCCTCCTTCACTCTGCAGTCCCTCTAATTGTGCAACTCTACTTGCCAACACTTGACTTACTCATTGAGTGCGCATTTGCCAGATTCCTTATAGCGCTCGTATATAGTCATGTACGACTGTTTAGTCTTGCTTATTAATATGAATTAATTCATTATTATCTTCTCTGACTCTCGCAAAAGCAACAGTTGATTTTTCCTTAACAGTTGCCATTTGACTTCAGAGAGTCAGCCACAACTTACATGGTTACGTTTCTTTTAAAAATCTCTCCTTTATTCTATAAATTCAACCCAATTCATCATTTTCTGATTGAAGCAACATTCTTCTAAAAATAATATTTATACACTGACAGACAGATAATTTACCTGAGCTTCTAAAGACAAATTTATGATAGGCTCTGTGCTAAGGTGTTTGCCTTCTGAGACAGCTGTAAGGTAAAATTGCAGGGCTTACAGTAAACACGCAGCTAGAAACAGAGAGTTCCACATTGTTTTCAAAATTGTTCTCTAATGTCAAATTTGAGGAGAAGACCTGAATGAAAAAAGGAGGTCATCAGAGAAGTGATAATCAGAAAAGATGGAGTTTTGCCACTGATTTCAGTAGAATTATGAATTTACTCAGGAAGTGCTGAAGGAGAATGAAGAAAGTCTCTCTGAGAAGTTGTAGATAAAATTCTTGGGGAACTCAGAAGCTATTGTGATAATAAATTGCTCGTGGTTTGCCTCTAAAGATGCCAGGACACAAGCTGACCCAATGAAAAGGTGGACATGATCATGTCAGCCTTCAGAACATTGTTGAATTGAAACTATTCTCCCGTGGGATTTCTATAATATTTTCCTGACAAAAGCTGATGGTTATCTTTTTCTTTATTTATACAAAAGTTCTGCTGACACTATAATCCCTGATTTAGAGTATAAAGATAGTTCTTAATCAGATTTTTACCCTTCATGGATGAGGTAATGTGTGCTTTTTCCTGGTATTTGTGTTTTTGGTTTATTCAGGTTCTTTGCAAACATATTTGTGCTCCAGACAGATTTTATTACAACTAATAGGAAAAAAAGATGTATTTATTTTAAAATTGTCCCATATGGAAAAGATGTTTTAAGAACAGTGCTAACAATGAGTGATGTTATACAAACCACTGGGATAAAATTCCTTTCAAAGTGATGGGAGCAACACATGAGCTGTTCTGAATCATGGCTATGTTCTTAACTCACCTGCCAGGGATAGTTCCACAAGGAACAAACACCTTTTGATAGTAAATAATACTTTCACTTCCTTTATTTTTTGTTTTTTAATCAAGTCCTGTTCCCATCCTCAAACTACCCACATGCTCACGTATTTAGGTTCAGGTTATTTTTCTTAATTTTTTCTAGAAATAATATTTCCTTCTGCAACATGCTGAAATCTGTTCTTTTATAAAGAGATGAGAAACACTTCCCTTCCTTATGATCTCCTGACATGTTTGCTGTTGTTCCTATTGGTAAATAGATTTACTGGTTTTGAGAATTTATGCTGATGGGGTGGGTCAGAGAAACCGGAGACAGACGTGAAGGGCTTGAGGTTTCAAGAGCTGTTTTTCACTCCTCGCAGTGTCCTGTTATCCTTGCGAAAGACAATGGGTGGGTCTAAATACCAGAATGCTTGGGGTTATTTTTACATGTTGTCTGTGCTGTTCACAGCATGCTATGCCATTTTGGAGGATCTCGAGCCACTCTGACCTTATGGCCCTTCACCATGCCTTGGAACTGGAGTACTTGTAGCAGCTCAGCAGCACTTTGAAACCCCAGAGCCTCCTTCTGCCCGTGGACGGGATGCCTGTGTCTTGTGTCAGCATTGGACTACAGAACTTTGTGATTTCAACATGTTGACGTACAGCTGCAATTGGTCTTAACCCTTGCCCTTTCAGTAAACAGAGGAGCATGTCTTTTTCTTCAGAACAGCTGTTGACTCTGGTACTGCGAGTCCAACGAAAATAAGCCATGCGAATGTTTGAACAACTCGTCTTTACCGTATTTGCTACCACAAAGAAATAGAGAAGGAAAAAAAAAAAAAAGGAAATAAAAGGTTCATACCTGTGAAGAAAAAAAGGACCTGCAAATGCTTTGTAGTTTTTAGACTCTTCAATGTGACACACACCGTTTCTTCAACACAGCAAACTTGATTGCACAATGAAGACTGAGATTTTTCAAAATACCAGTGGAGTAATTTTCTTGTAAAGAAGGTTTACTTTTTGGTTTCTCATACCCAGGGTACTCTGTACATCTTTACTTATTTATGAACAGACTATATTTTGACATCATATAACTGAGGATATGTATAATAGGATTAAAGGCTATTATAAGCCTTTGCCTTATGGTACAGCAACTACTTTTGATTTTAGCACATTACAGAGTAGTTTAAAATATGTCTAATTTAAACTAATAGGTACATCACTGAGACAATCATGTACAGGAAGAATTTTTTTGTGTAAATTTGTAATAATGAATGATTCTTTTACATATTGTTAAGGTAAATGCTATTGAAAGATAGTAATGCCTTGTTGGTGAAGAATGAGGCCACACGTGCACAAACTGTTGTGCAGTGCCTTATCAATGCGTTGGATATAAATATGTAGATAATGGATTTTTTTAGATAAATTTGTCAAGACCAAAAGCATGGATGTCAAGTGTCAATAAGAATTGGGTTTTGTTCTTCTCAGCTGTTTCTCTACCTTTTTCTTCTCTCACCTACTCTGATTATGAAAAGATTGATTTCTTTCCCCCCATGAAGGAAATACAGATAAAACACAACTGAAGAGGAGTCCTTTGCTGTCTTCTGCTTCCTCTTTTAAAGTTAACATATTAACCCTTTTTTAAAGTACTGAAAAATAAATTAGCAGATTCATTCCATAAAGAAATAGAGAGAGAACACAAATATATTTTAACACATGACTTAAACTGGAATCTTGGTACCCAATAGTTTTTGTCTTATCCAAAAATGAAGGAAACTATCACCATTGTTATTTTTAGAAATTAGAAATGGGAATATTTTGGAGAAATTGAACAAGAATGCTCATATACCCCTAAGTTTTTTAATCCTCTTCCACCAGGAGTCAGATTTTCCTAAGATATAACATCCATTGCCGGCAATGGAAATACTGAAATAGTTATCGCCAAGGAGTTAAAATTTGCTTTTGTCTATACCCATTTACAGGACAAACCTAGACTGTGTCTGTCTGTGACTTGTGACTTTTCTAATCCTGAAGGCCATGAGCTACTTGGTCAGATAAACTGTTAGTCTGACTTTTCGGTTTCAATTGTACCGATTCCCTTTACCTGACTTAAATCTCTTCATTAAAATGAAGCCTCGGTTCATTCTCCAGCTTTTCTTCTTGTTTTCTTTTGCTAAAAACACCAGCCTTGAAACAGCTACCTGCAAAGCTACAAAGCACCAATGTAGCTACACAACACCACCCTTCTCTATTGGAGGAATCATATTGCTGCTAGAATTCAATGTTTGTGGATTGCTTTATTACCAACAGAGAGGTTTTTATCCTACCAAGACTTGCACATGTGCTTTACTTTACCCAGAATGAGTGCTGGAATTCGCACAGTACTCACACACATGAAGCACTATGTGGGTAGTTTTTAGAATTGAGTCTATAATTAACCTTTTTTTTTTTCCTCAAGCAAAGTAGACAGTGATGGGGGGTTGGTTGTTTTTTTGGGTTTTTTTTTTGGCTCACTTCAATTTTTAGTCACTCACAGACTGAAAAAACCAAACAGTTTATCTGGGCCTTATTGTACAAAAAGTGTGTTGTGTCCACAATTGTGTACAGAATTTTTCTTCATTAATTTTGTTTTAAATTAATAAAATTGATTTGTGAACGTATTAAACAATCGTCTTGTATGCAAGTCTATGGTATTTCTGCCCTCTACGTTGGGAAAGAGGAGACATCTCTGATCTCTTTGCTGTCACAAGGCAGAAGCTGTTCACCTGCTTGCGCCCAGCTGAGACATTAAGTAGGATAAAAACTATTTGCATCTAGTTTACAAAAGGCTCAGTTAGATGGGCAGCAGTTGTTTTGCTTATCAGCAGGAGCTAGAGAAGGTCAGTGCAGAGTAGGGACTTAATGCATGGTGTCCTGGAAATGTGTGCCTAAGTGACTCATAGAAGTCTTAGAAGGTGCTGCGGAGCCTCTGAATGTCATCCGAAGCAATCCATGTGCTGAATGGATGAGTCCCGTTGTTCAGACATCTCACTCAGGGCTACAGCAAATCTCCCATCCTCTGAGGAGCTACAGGCCTGAACATCCCTGGGAAGTTGGGCCTGGTATTTACCTTTTGCAAGCACGGAGCAGAGCCTCCCTTTAAATCAGGGAAAGGGTGGCAGTGCCTGCCATTTTACAGCAGACGCTTTATTGTAGACCCATGAAGAATTGGTCCAGAGTGTGGGTTTGATTTGCTCTTCTAAGGAGAGGGAGGAGCATGCCCAAACCCACATCTCACCTTCCACAAGTTTGTCCTAATTAACGACTTCTAGACTGATCTGCCCAAGAAACATCCTCCGCCTCTTCTGGTTCTGCTGTGCTACCCTGCACAAAGGGATTAGTTGAGCCAGAGACTGCAGAAAAGAAGTCAATGAACCAAAGAGTGAATATGGCTGCACTGAAGGGAAAAGCAGGATCAGACGGGAGGAGAAAATGTGTCCATCAACCATGTATAGTTGTTTTGCAGTGCCTGGTGAAAAGCCCTCTTTCACAGAATCATAGAATCATAGAATTGTTTAGGTTGGAAAAGACCTTTAAGATCATCAAGTCCAACCATTGCTCTTTGCTCCTCTGCCCCTGAGTGAGAGCCTTGAATGGAGGCTAGTGGGCACTTGTGGTCCCTTTCTTGTCTAGTGAGACCTGGGGTTTGTTGCTACATTGTGGTACAGCTTCAAAAGGAGAGCTGGAAGTCCTGCAAGCTAAGAAAGGCATGGCTTAGTCAAGTATGGGTTTGTGTCCTCTCAGAAAGAAAAGGGATTAAGTCAGCATAAATTCTTTTTGAACTAGTTGTCCAGTTATAACAGTAGTGACAAAAAGGAGTGCCTTGCACCCATCCCCTGCATGGCATAGGATTAACACATGCCTGCCGTGTTTTCTGAGCAACTTGATGTTACTGGTGTCTGAGGTGCTGGAAGTGCCTGGCAAGCCAGGTCCTTAGGAGATTTAGGAGAAGAAATGTCTACTTTCCAACTCTCTGATGGCCCTGGGAGTGAGGAACCAAGACTGGGCACGTGTAAAGAGGTAAAACAACTTAATGCAAGTAACTCCTAACTTTACAAACCACAGTATCTGATAATTTTAGGTAAGGAACAGGATGTTAGTTTCATTGTAGAGTCTGCCTAAGTCTCACTTTAGGTAACACGAATTCTTTCTGTATCTAGCCTTTAGCATGTCCCTCAGTCTTGCAGAAGAGGAAAATAACCCGAGCAATGGGCAACAAGCTATAGTATTATCAACCTCCATGTGCCAAACACCTTTCCTTTCTTGCATCTTCTGCACTTTTGCCTTTCCTCCAACAAATGTTTGCTTGGGTTTTGCTGCAGTGTAGGTTGTTCTTTGGCAGTGCTTGTTGCAAGATCTCCACTCCCACTCACTGTGTCTGAAGGACTCGGTTCCACTATGCCACCAGGTGCCAGAAGTTGTCTTCCCTTAGGAAGTGGCTTACCCTCAGAAGGCTCAGAGTGGAGTTTTCTCTGTTACAGAAAAATTGAACAAATTCTTCCAAACAGTAGAACTCTACAACAAGCATAGTGGCTGTAATTCCCTGAGGCTTTGCAATTTGCTTCTGCAAATGATAAACAAAGCCTCTGAGGTTTGCTATTTCTTGTGGTTACTAGCATAGAGGTCTTTTGAAGACTGAAATCCCCTTGCCAGCTGGCCACGCTTTAAAAAGCCACCTCTAAAGCTATCATCTCCTCCCCTTGGTGCACTGAATGTGGTGCTCAGGTGTGCTCCTGCACTGCCCATGAAAACACACTGACTGTTCTCTTGAACACGTTTTGGAGGTTTTGGTGTTTAGGCTGGTGGGTGACCACAGTGTTTTAAAGATCATCATTGCTTCAGATCTCAGATTAGTCTTAAAGCAAGAACATGAAATTGCAAGTGTTGCTTAGCTCCAAACATTTCCTTCCAGAACCCTGGAAGGCCTGTAGCTAAACATTATCTGACATTACTGATGGAGGCTACGTAGCCTAAATATTATACACTGTAAATCAGCTCCTTTGATACACGAATACACATACTCGTATTAAAAAATGTTGCCTCAGGTCCCTTGTTTGTTTTTGCATCTTAAAATTATTATACGTATAGTACTACTGCTGGTTTTGAGGCAAAAGAAGCCAGATGCCATATATTATTCTGCTGTAATCCATTAGAGCATTGAGTTTACAGCGGCAAATCACAATTACAACTTTGCAAACTTATACTGTGAAGATGAAATTGAGCTTTTTGTTTATATTTCCATCCCTTTCTTTTAAAGCTGACAACCTAACAAACGGAAGCAAAACCAAGACCAACCAAGGAACTGCTTCTGTGTATTTGGCACTGCCATGGAAGTTGGATGCTCAGAGTTAAATTACATCTATATGTTTTCAGCGCAGGACCAATGGTGCTAGTCCACTGCAACAGGTACCTAAATCCCCTCTGAAGTCAGTGGCTTTCTTTTCTGAGCCTCTCCCTGCTAAGAAAATTGATTCTATTTTAAGGAACTTCATACAAAGACCTTATTTAAAT